TAGTAGTAGTAGTAGTAGTAGCAGTAGTAGTAGTAGTAGTAGTAGTAGTAGTAGTAGGTACTACTACTACTACTACTACTACTACTACTACTACTAAATATGCTTTCTGAAGGACGAGCAGATGTTGATTCTTCTTGAACAGCAAGACACTTCTCCTTGCTAGAACAGTCAAATGTTGGAAATTGGTTCTTTTTATTTCCCCACCATTGTTGAGGGTTGGAGTGTCTTTTCTTGCCACTCTCCATGTTGTCTTACTCAAAGGGCATTTAGGATGGGAGATGCTCTACCTGAGAAGCAGCTGTGTTTGCAAAATACAATGGTGCAAGATGAATATTCTTGCCTACTAAATGTTGAGCCCCACATGATATAACTACTAGTTTACTATTATAAAACCCCTCTAAAAAGGTATAAGAATTCATAGTATTAAAATTTGTCTTGCCTAAATATTTAGTCACACATGCATCCAGTCTTCCAATAGTCGTAATATAAACTACTAGTAATATAGTACCCCCTCTTACTTTGCCTAAATATTTAGTCCCATATGTGACCAGTCTTGTATTTTTTAGTCCAATATGGATTCAGTCTTGCAATGGCCATTTGTACCACTACTTGTTGACTCCAATGTTGCACAGTTGCAAAATTTTTTACCCCAGTGCATTGTTGCAACAGTCAAATACCATTGCATTGCACACCCCTACTTGCCAGCAGTGTGCAAAAAGTCTCTAATGAAGACTTGAAGTATTACAACAAAGTTAAGAACTTTGATTCAAAGTTGTCAACTTTAAGTCATACTAGTTCTTGTCAACTACTAAGCTAGGTGGGCCTATGTATGATTTGTACTATTAGAGCTGCACTATGGCATGCCAGTAGGTCAGCAGCTGCTCCTTGGCAAGGAGTAAAATACAACCACACAAGATCAATCTATTTCTTGGGGGTTGCCTCCTACTATGACCCGATACCAGGATACTACTAGTATCTAGAGAAATCAGCAAATGAAGAGACTGCTGATTTTCGTTGCTTTTAGAAAAAACTTGTTGGTTTCTATTGGGCACCGTTCAAAAATGCTAGTGCTACCACTGCTACTGGAAGCATGCCAGTGGTACATTAGAACAGTTCTTTTTGTCATTCTATAAAAAGATGCCTTGGTTCAAAGCAACCAACCATGGGAATAGCTCTAGTATTTGAAACACTTCCACTCAATCTTTGGCACCACTGTACCTGGTATCAATTGATAAATCTTTTCAACTGCTAATTTAACACACCCTAAACTGGGTGGTATTTTTTGGTTGATCCCACTTCTGCTTCTTAGAAGTGCCCATACCAAATCAGAGTGGTGTTCTAAAATTGTGGTGGTTGGGAACAGCAATACTAGTCATTTTTGTCATGGAATGCTGATGCGTTTTTGGTGTGAAGTTTTATGCTTGTGCATGAAAAATTACCTTTTCCTGGTGCAAATTTGTTCCACCATTGATATTGTGCATTTTTCTGGCCAGTGTGCAAGCCAACCATGCTATGGAACTTTTTCCAAAAATGGATGAACTTGAATCTATTGCTGAGTAAGTTCACTACACACGTGCACAGACAAATACTATTGGTTTCCTACAAATAAATTGAAATGCACATAAAACCTGCTCATGCAGTATTTGTATTGTCACATGCACCAGGTCATGATTGATCCTAGTATGGGCATACAATTACTAACATTGGTGGTGGTTGATCCTGTATACTAAGAGCATATGGGCATACAAGACAATGAAATATATTGGTCCTTGAGCTGCTGTAGCTGGTTATCACAAGATAATTTTGTGTACTGACTTGTTGCATTGAATTGTATTGCATTAAAATATACCAAAATTTGTAGGGGTTATTATAGGCATTAGAAGGCATTCTTTACTTCTTCTTGCCCCCACTGGTCACACTACCATTACTAGTGCATGATTGTGGTCCACTAAAAAATAATTGCTTAATGAGAATTAAAGATTGATGAAAAATAATCCACTAGTCCAATTGAAGTTGGTTTGCAACATCTCATCTCCTAGTAGGAGGTAAAATAGAATCATCTTACTAGTGTGTTTGTTCATTTCCCCTGAGCTTCTGCTGTACCACAGTACTTCTTGGCTTGTTTTTTTACCATGCCACCACATCCTCCATTTTGGTATTGGAAGATATTGTATGCATAATTAGCTTACACTTGTATTTGCCACTTTGTTTACAATTCAATCTGTTTGATTACTTCAACATCTTGTGTAGCTATTGTTTCAAGCTCAATAATGATACACAATCTCTTCCATCTTGCTGTCTATCAATACTTGATGTTCCTGGTTGGTTTGTATTAAACTTCAATTTTCTTAATGATTAGCCTTCAAACCACCACTATAAAGGTTTGCACTACTGTTTCTGCAAATGTAGCTCTCTCCCTGTACAAAGTTGTCAGCTTAACCGTAGGTAAACAAGACTAAATGTCATTTGACATCTCCCGTACTGACTCAAATGATTACTCTTCCCCCTTGTGACTATATTATTTCCCTATTTTTTCGTCTCTTTGTGTCCATTACTCTTGAGTTGTTGTTGACAACCACCAGGTTGTCACAAAAAATGTCTATGGGATCTCATTGTTGTTTTATTTGGTTACATTAGCACATACTGTACTAGCAGTAGAGTCCTATTGCCCATCTCATTTCTCTATCCAATGATCAGGGAGTAAGACAGGGACACACCCATTCCTTGTCTAATTGATAATCTTTGTACTAAGGAGTTTTTGGACTACAAAGAACTTGATATTGTATTTAGCTTCATGAACTAGTAGGAGAGGGACTATGTTGGCCAGAACCATTGCTCCTCCTGTAGGTGGAGGACAATGCCACTGGTTGCTCCAAGGGGCGGCTCCCTCCTTCAGGAAGTTGGGTTGGAGGCATGACCATCAGTTTTTTGGACTATCTGGAGACCACCACTGGCTTTGTTAAGACACAACATGTCATGGCAGAATCAAAGTGTCCATTGAGTAAATGGATTTTTTCTACAAACAGGACCAGTACAAAGAATCAACCAGAAGTTCAGGAAAGCAACAAATTGTTTGTGGGACATTTTGTAAAATGAAGCTGGTCATTCCTCAAGTTTCATTTCATCTGAATCTATTCTTGTTGCTTGATATTGGTGCAAATCCATTAAAATCTTAAGCAGAAGCTGATAGAAACCTGCAAGTCTTTATCTTGCAAGAGTCTGTTGCTGAAGCCCAAGGTATTGACCCCCCCCCCCCCAATTTTTGGTGGAACATGTAGTATTCTTCAATAGTTTCATATAGTCAACATTTTATCCATATCATTAATAGGTTGATCCTGTCCAACCATCATTTGTGCTTGGGGACAAGCACCTTACATGCTGTGCCCCTTTTCCCAAGAGCTTAGGATGGCAGGAGTTGGTATACATGATTCAGAGGGAAGCCATTGCCTATGGTCAATCCAATTTCTTAAGTACTAGGGTGCCAACCATCTGGATTGGAAACTTCCTTTGATTCTTTTGGTTCCCCTTCATTGACCAGGGTTCTTTCATCAACTTTGTTTCAACTGGTGGAGGCTTGTCTAGACACATACTGAAAAAATGGTTAGTCCTATTGTTTCATGTAGAGAAAGGACTTAGTGTCATAGGAAGTAGAAATGTCATCCCAATTCCAAGCCTCACTGTGAGTATCATTTTTATCACCATTTAGTTTGAGTTAGAGTCATGGAATCTTTGGAAGAATTAACTTCTCGGTGCTCAACCAGTATGATACAAATGCAATCCTTCACAGAAAGAATTGAGCTGTCTAACTGTTTGTACTAATTTGGTTATTTTTATTACCACCACTGGCAACAATAATAATCCTAAACAAGGGAGGATCAGACAATTGTTGTTGGAATCCAAAAAGTAGTATCAACAGTACTTTGTCTCTCATACCTATTTAGTTTTGTGGATTTACAGATAACCGGGAAGTGCATCTTACTTTTCCTTGTATTTTCAAGCCAGTATAACAACTTCAATGACGCCAAACAGCCAGAGAACAAACAGGTCTGAGTTGCTCTCTGGAGAACTGTTTGGTAATGGTATTTAAGGGCAATTTAAGAAGGAGGGGTTTTGGTTGATTGTTGCACGGCTAGAAGAAGTTGTTTTTCCTCCATTGAACACTGATCACATAATCAATACTATTCTACCTGATCTAGGTAGTATCTGAATATGAGTCACCAAGTGGTCCACAAAAATAGAAATCTTGCAAGTACCACTGTAAAGTGCCTAACGCAATAAAACTACTGTTGCAAAAGGTCTAGAATAGCAGTGGATTGAATTGAGTTTCCTACATCAAGCAAAGAGTCACACGGACGTGAAAAATCATTTTATGTATCCAACATGGCATTTGTGTGACGCAACTTCTGTCAGAGTGGTCTAGATTTTTTATGAATTGAGTTACTTCCTTGGTTTGACGAAATAATCCTTCTGGCTTTTCTTAAGAAGGGGCAGCCACTCTCCTGTGGGTACAAGGTAGCATCGTCGATTATCAGCTGGATCCCCTCGACTCAAAATTCCAATTACTTCTCCTTGTAGATTCACACAAGGACCACCACTGTGACCAACAAATGTGGCACAATTGACGACGATTTCTTTCCGTGGTTTGTAACGACGATCATCATTACCGTCATCAGATAATTCATGTTTGCTGCAAGTATACCCCCTCGCGAAATCGATATGTCGATTCAATTTCACACCAGGACCCATCAAGCCTCCTCCTCCTTGGTTGTACCCGATTATCCTCACTATTTCATCATAATAGCAATCAGTTGTTACTTTCAGAGACTTCAACTTTTCTTTCTTTAAAGCCTCTTTGTTGTTCACCAGAATATGTTCAATTTGATCTCCGCAGCCTTCCCCAGTTCCTCCAACATCAGCTTCCATCCTCGTTGTGATGCAAAGAACACATGCATCCACCCGGCAAATGCCGTTTTCGATTTCGGGATCTTTAGCTACTATCTTGGCAAAATATCGAAAGACAGCTTCTCCAGAATCCTCCGTTTCTCTCTGGCGGGGAATGACGCCTATTACAACCTTTCCTTGTCGCATTCCGAAGTAATTTTCACCAAACGGCGTGTTTTCCTCGCCAGAAATATTCATCAAAGTGTGACTTGCTGTTACGACCAAACCGAGTTTCTTGTCGGCGATGAAACCAGATCCTACTCGGACAATTTTTCCTCTCTTGCTTCCGTCCCACAATCCTACCACCACAACGCTCTTGAATAAAGCATCAGTCGGAAAAGTATCTGGTTGTATTTCTCCTTGGACCTTCGAGTTGTCGTATTTGTCACTCTTGTAATTCTTAGAGGCAAAGGGGCATATCAATCGTAGATCCACCTTGTGGCCATGGCGACATCGAATCATGGTATCCCCTTCCTGTACTGCCCTTTGGACTACACTAGCACCCCAGCAACTAGCTTGACTCACGCTCTTCGTCACCAAGCATTCTGGACAGAAGGCCTGCTTTTGAAATTCTAAACCACCATATTCTTCCATCACATCAAAGAGTGTTTCAAGCACATTAAAGTAGCCACCGGACCAAATCTTTTTGCCTCCGTCTCCTACTTGACCTTTACCACTTGTTATGAGACGCCTCGACCCGACAGACATCTGCTCGGATCCGACACAATAATTTGAATCTTTGTCCACAAGTGCAGTAAATATTTCAACATTGCTTACCCTTGGCTCCCCTGTCGGCGAAAGGACCTGCATGCCTAGTTTCACGAGAAACGCATTGCGCCAACAGAGAACTTCTTTCACCAAAATATTTCCTGCGGAGGAATGTGAGTTTTTTCTTCCGTTCGAGATCGCATTGAGCGAATATTCAACGGTATCAGGTACTTTTTTCTGAGCCATGATGTACAACTTGCTCAAGACGGTGGCCGTGAACCGTTCCATCAGTCCAGGAGGAACTCCATCCGGGAACATAACAGAATGGCATAAAGTTGCTATCCAGGAGTCTGAGCTCTTGTAAGTCCACGTCTCTTCAGTTGGTTCTCCTGGACCAAGCAAACTAGGCAAAAAGAAATAAGTTGACTGCCATACGTCTTTCGCGCTCTGGTTACCGGGAGAACTTATTGCTCCCCGAGTAATCGCTTCTGGTGTCGTCTGTGCTGCCTTGTTCGATTTCTGTGAATAATCTATTCTCCCCAAGATTGCCTTCTCGATCCCAAGATCGATAGGGATGAAAACTCTGAATCGTACCAAAAGTAATTGTAAGAATTGAAATGGCTTCAATTTTATGCCAGCTGATTCATCTTCTAAGCGTTCTGCTGCTTCTCTTGTGGATTTTTGAGCCTGCCATAGCATGCAAACATCGTTCGACGTAATGACTGGACAAGTCATATGTGCTTCATTAAAACTATTAGGACGTGTTATAATTTCCTGTTTCATCGACAAAGACCTCCTTGTTTCTTCGATCTTTTGATCAAGATTATGGCATAGAATGCAAGCAACTGCCTTCACGAGCCACTTTGGATTTAGAAATACAAACTGGGCCAGGCTTGCTGAAGTTTGATAGTTACCACTCGAAAGAGCGTCACCGCTTTGATTTGAAAGTGGAGAATCATTTTTGCTTTTATCCGAGGGGATAATGGAGATAGTGTCACCATCATCAATGGCACCATCATCAATATCCTGACCGCAAGGTACCGGACCTCCACAGAAAGTTTCGCTTTTCATAACACCATTATCTCGAGGGTTCTCTGACACCGCATCGCCAAAATATGATAGCTCGCCAATATTGGTTAAGAAATGAAGTGCATCGCTGACATGATCGGCGTCTATATTTCCCTTCTTTTGTATTTGTCGGAAAAAATAATCCCATTGTACCACCTTGAATTTAGCTCTCGTTTCTCGAACAACATCTAGAACTTTTAACCTTAAACGAGGAATACGCGCACCGACGTGTCCGCGGAAAAGTGGATATTCAGATTTCAGTGTTTCTCGACCGGTTGCAATGTTGTTGATTTTCTCGGTCAATTTTGCGAATCCGGTGTATTTGGTTCCGCTAACCCTAACGATACTATCTTCTCCGTTGTCACCAAAAATGATCTTCGGTCGAGCATATGATCCAAGCAGCTTACGCAAACGCAAAGCAGGCGCATCGTTTGCTCCATTAGCATCCATGTATTCCTTGAGACGATCCGTAATGCCCTTAATGCGTCGTTCCTCGTGTTTCTCAAGGCGTTCCTTCAGTATATTGCACCTACGTTTGGCTTCGTCATGATCACTATTGTCAAAAAGATCATCGAAAGTAGCAACAGGTAGAATTGCAGCCCCTGGCACGCTCGATTGTATACAATCTACCCAGAACTGGACTTTTTCGTCTATATCTCTTTCAAGGGCTCTATCTGCTCTTCGCGCCTTTTCTGACTCGGACTCATCGTCAGAATCGCTACATGACCCGGCTGTGACGTGGTCACCATCTGCATTGTTGTTTAAAGGTTTACCTCTTTTTTCTATTGCATGGTTGTTTGCCCCCATATCCCATACCACAACGTATAACGCACGAGGTGAAAAAAACAGTTCATGGGTAGCATGATAGACATGCTGTCCGGCAAAATCCCAAACGCTGAATCTCACGTTGGCATTTGGACAGAGCTCCTCTAATTTTTTATCTTGCAATAGAATCCGGTTATCGATGTGTTCATAACGCCTATCAATTGCAGGGTCCCAATCATAGATATCAACACCGATTGTCCTTTCGTCTCGCTTTGGAATGACAGCATCTTCGCCTTCAATAAGTCGTTTGATCATAGATGTTTTTCCGGCCATAGCCATACCCACAAAAATAACCTTCAAGGTTTTGTTTATAGTAACTTCATCATGTTCGATATAACTATTGCTTGACAAAGTCGGCCCCAGTGCTGACTTGGCATCCACGGAATTATCAGGTGGGGGTGTCGAAGTTACCAGTGACGTCTTATTTTGGAGTTCTGTTACACGTGATTGTTTTGACGAGGCGATAGATGATGATTCATGGACAGTTGAGGTACGACTCTCAGCAGAAGCCTTGCCATCCGATGTATGCGTTCGTCTATCATTGTAAGATACAGAGGACTGTGATTTTTGTGACCTCGATTTCGATGCTGTCGACTGCGAACTATCATCCAAGTGTCTCCGTCCCGAACCTCCGTGTCTCCTTCGACTCGATGCTCCACGAGGTGTTTTCAGCTTTGTCTTGTTTTTAGAATATCGTGTCTTCGATTGCAAAGCTTCTAGTTTTGATTGCTCTTCTCTACTAAGGCACTGGTAGTATCGTTTCATACTAGCAATGCCACGTTCACATGTTTCGATAGGTGGCTGAAGAACAGGGTTATTTGAAACATCGATTGTCTTCAGCTCCATATTACAGACTCGCATTGGAATCTCCCCCAGACAGTTATTCGTCACTTTCAGTGTTTTCAGCGATCTGAGTCGATCCAGTTCCTCTGGCAATTGGGCCAAATTATTGTATCCCAAATCCAAAATCTCTAAACGAGATAATAGTTTAGGATTGTGGGGAATCATTATCATCGAAACCTCGTTCCCAAACATATTCAGCTCCTGCAATTCTAAGAGGCCTTCTAACATAGTCTTCGAGAAGAGAAAGATTCAAAGACAGAGAAATAAGTAAATGAAAATAAATTGAAACAGCGAATGGTTTGGATCAAAGAACGAGGGAAGGTTTTCATACAAAAGAACAAGATTGACTATCACAACAGATAGTACGAAGTATATACAGTCAATTGCAAGAGCTGCATAAGTACCAGCCTTACGCTTCGACAAAACACACTTTTCAAACGTACCTCTTCAGGAAAGTCAGTCAGACGATTATGTGATAGATCGAGCCGTGTTAGTTTCGGCAAATTCCACTGCTCTGGCAACTGATGTAACTGGCATTGAGAGAGATCCATCGTCTTTAAGGTAGGTAGGCAGGTCACTAATTTTCTAGGGATAGTAGACAACCGGTTGCCCGAGAGAGATAATTTGTACAATGATTGACCCAGCACTGTTCCGTATAAATCCTTCACGGGAATATCTGCCGCCGTCATTTGAAGCTGATTCAGCATCAATTTTTTTTTGAAAGGAAATCTTGTAGCTTCGCACTTATACAACAGCATTGCAATTCTGTTCCCCAGTTGGGAGTTTTCAGTAGAGCTCCTTCGCTTGTGTTCATCGCTGTCGCTATTTCCAAGGGTTTTACTACCTTCCAATTCAGATTTTCGAGGAATAGGATAAGGTTGCGAGCTAGAAATTCCAGCACGAATAGGAGCGGTAGGATACGACGTTCCATAGGTGGGACCCGCACTTCCGGTCGAGAAATGTGGATAATGTTGCAGGTGCTGACGGAAAATTGGTTGTAGCTGTTGATGTACTTGCTGATGGTGGAGGTGATGCGGGTTGTTTCTTCCCAACATGATGTTTCCGTAAGCACTGGACGGAATCTGTTGACGATGGTTTGTGCTGCTGTCATTAACTGACAAATCGCTCATCGTACTCGTTGTAGACCTATTGTCGCCATTATCATGTACGTGCACTGGCACCCCACGCAAAACCTTCTGCTGCTGTAAAAGAGCCGATATTGGTGGGTCATAGATTTGATGGGTCGATGATGATGAGTTATTTTTTCTGGAATCCACATCTACACTGGGTTTGTTATGAATTGGGTACGCAGACAGTTTTGCAACTGCAGCACCCGTGGCTGACATTGGCGACGTATATGCAATTTGCTGTTGAAAAGGTTCACGTTGATACGATGCATGTGCAGGATTTCGAGTATCACCATTCTTGTGTGATGTGGTGGTAGCTATATCGCCATGAGGAAGACCATTAACTGTTGACTCCATTTTAGAATGAAGAAAGGTATGCGAGCCGTCATATTCGTAACTGTTGTCAGTGGTGCAATTATCACCGGACATCTCTTCTTCCAAGGCAGTCATTAAGTTACTTTGAGTAGCCAACTTTTGGCTATCAATATGATTTCTATTGTGATTGATGGGGCTTAACTGCATTCCCATGGTTGGAACTTCGTGGTAGTAACCATTGTCAACCACTGCACCGTCTTCCCCACGTTGTTGTTGCGCATCTGCTTTCAATCGTCGCACCTCATCGAGTTTTTTGCTTTTCCTTCGAGCTTCCCCATTGTTCAAACTCGACGACGAATTAGACCGTGAAAATTGTTCTCCGGGTTGTAATTTATGGTTTTCTACCTTGCCATTGCGATTTGCTGCTTGCTTTGTATGCTTTCTAGCCGATGCAAATAACCCCCCTGATTGTCTTGATTTGCCTATCATATTGAAATGGCTCCTCTCATCTTTCCGACCTCCATCATTGACTGCTTCATTAGTATATCCATTTCCAACTAAGGTAGTTCGATCACGAGTACGAGTATTTTTATCCGAATCGGCTTCTCTGCTCGTCGTCCTCCAAAACTTATTTCCTCCACCCCCTTTACTCTTGCCAACCTGGTCGTTGTCCGATTTCTTTTCTGGCACAGATGAGCCTTTGATTGCGTCACCGCCATAAAAACCTCTGCTACTTTCACGGTCCGACCTTCCTCCAAAAGGTTGATAAGTCGTATTCGAAGCCCCGGAAGACAGCGAGGAACCAAAATTTCTTCCTCGCCCGGGTCTCCCTACGAAGTTTCCAATCTGTCGATGAAAGGTGTCGATGGCATCTTCTTCATCGAGAGGCAAAAAGCTTTTCTCTTCGTAACTATAACTAGGTTCGCTTTCGTCGGGGACGGTATTGATGGGCTGTCTCGGAGGCGCGTGAATGGGTTGGGGTCGACTTCTCTGACCGGCCTGGATCATCTCAGCGCGAGTTGCGGCGTTTGATGTACGTCTACTTCCATATCCGGACATTCTTGGCGACCTTCCTTGATGCATGTTGCCATCTTTTCTGTCTCTACCGTGACCACCAAACATACTGAAATTTCAGGACTTGTGGGCTCGCAATCAATGTTACAGTGCTGATATGATAATTTGCAGCAGACGTCACACCTTTTGTGTCTCTGTACAAAAAATTCCAGGTTTGTGTAGCTTCTGTTTCGACGGATCGATGTATCGGCGTATGCATCACTCTTGCGTTATCTTGGTGTTTTCGAACTTGGGGTATGCAAATAAATCACTTGACGGGTATTCCCGCATTAAAACAAGGCTCCAAGAAGACCCACAGTGTTCTTAATTCGTTTTCAAACGAATGGAAATATGGTAGGAAGCGCAACAATTGTCTACTGCAATCGTCTCTGTCATGAACATAATCTTTGACTTGGGATCAGAGTTCCGATGTTCAGGTTAGTGCCATGTACAGTAATGTAACCTTATCTAACATGAGTGCGGTAGGACTACGAGTACCGTACCGTATGTACGAAGTAAAAGTAGAAGTAATTTCTAATAGGCTTTCTGTACTGACCGTACTAGCAGTGCGAGTATGAGCAATTCGCCCATTCAAACTGGTACAAGTACGAGTACTACTGCACCTCTACATCTGCTAGAGTAGTTGATACAGGCATCCCACGATACTCTCAATACGTTAAGGGTCGCATCCTTGCGCGATGCGCAATGAGAGTCTCAGCACGATGATCTAAAAGTATCGAGGAGGCAATTGTAAAATAAAATAAGCACAAAATCAGAACTTGAAAAAACAACTTGGGAGCATATTGATAATATGATCGTTAGAAACAAATTAAGTTAAAAACATAACCCAGTTGTATTAATATTTCTTATTAGTAATACAACTCGTCTGGTAGTACTGTACAATACAAAGCTTTTTATTTTTTGTCATCATGTACCGGTACGTAAGTAAGTCGAACTATGAAGTCCGAGTACGACGGAAATAAGTACGGTACGTACGAACTTTGTTAAAGGGTATCGTTTCGACTGGAAGAAAAAATCAATCTACTCGACTCATTTTGAAAGAACCTCAACGAATTACCAATTACTGTACTGGCCGTACGCCATTAGGTGGTGAAGATCATTCAATACTGAATAGGACGGTATGAATTGATCTTGTCGTCTCTTATGCTAGAAGGGATAAGAATCACACTATTACAATACGTGGTTCATACTGCCGCAGGATTAGTTACCAGAAATGATCATTTCACCGCCAAGTTGTGTTGTTCTGAAAAAAGCGCTGGAAATTACAACGCTGATTGATATCTTCAGACGAGAATAGGTTGTGCTCTATGAGCAGAAGATAAAGTTATATCATTGAATAGATCGCCATTCTGCAGTGATTTTTCTTCTGAGTTGAATTTTTTTATATTTCTATATGCCTTGGGGAAGGTTTAAGATCCTAGAGTAGAACTCGATAGACACGTAACAAATTGATCCCAACCCCGTATTCGAGTTTGAAATAAGGCTAGGTTCGACGGCAATACAACACCACTACCGTTATCAATACCAACGAATATGTTTTGGTTTCGTGTCGTATCTATTCAAAGCCGAAATCTTGGTACTTTTGGAACTGGCAAGAGATCAAGAGGCAACGCACTGTGCAAAACTTGTTTCTACTTCCTTGACCATAACTACGGACACTCGAGGCAATGTTCTATTCGGAATGCGCCCTCCTTTGCACCAGACGATCCAAAATTCACCTCTTTCAAAGGAACTGTTTCATTTCAAGACGAATACGACAATCGCATTGGTACTTTTTTGACGATAATAACAAGATCATATTCCTCGGCTTCGAAGCCAGAGGCATCCGCAACGATGAAAGTTACTAAAATGGGAATGAGTGGAAAGGCTCGTATCCCTTTTGTCATTCAACGGGGTGGTACTAGCAAAGGTATATTTTTTCACAAAGAAGATTTGCCAAAATGCGAAGAGTTGCGAGACATCGTCATTCAGGATGCGTTTGGATCTCCCGATGTACGACAAATCGATGGGCTGGGTGGGGCCGACGTATTGACATCCAAGGTGGCCATTGTCAGTAAGAGAATGGATAGTTCGGGTTGCACGGACAATGTGCTGGCCGATGTCGACTATCTATTTGGACAAGTCGAATTTGGTCGTCCAAGTTCAAGTCCTTCTGATGCTACTAATTTGGTACGAAAAAGAATTTTATACGACGTGAATTGTGGAAACATCAGTGCAGGTGTCGGTCCGTATGCAATCGAGGAGGGATTGATCGAAGTGAACGACGACACGGTAGCGGCGATAGATATCGGTTCTAATGATAGTAATGGCATTCGTTGTCCAGCATATCGACAAACAGTAAGGATCTACAACGTCAACACAGGAAAAGTCATCATAGCGGAGGTTCCTGTTACAAAAGTTTTGGAGAAAGATGAGGCTGATGGCTGTGGCGATAGTTGGAATGATTGGACAGTCGTAGAGGAAGGAGGGTACGAAATCGATGGTGTCCCTGGAGCATCTGCGTATCTTCCGCTCGATTTTTCAAATTGTGTCGGGACTCTCACTGCTAGCGATGGTAGTAGCAACAGCCAAACCGCAGACACTAGAGACCAAGGGTCGTCGCGTTTGTTGCCCACAGGCAATGTCCGAGACGCTGTAGTAGTCGACGGGCAATCCTACGATGTTTCACTGCTCGATGTCGCAAATTTTGTTGTCCACGTTGACGGGCGGCAACTCGGTTTGACGGGAAAGGAACCATCCCTGGAGATCCTGAAGAATAGCAAATTCTGGAATACCGTTCGAAGAATACGGTTCGAGGCGGCAAAGCTTGTCATGGAGGAAGACGAAATCACGCTCACGAAACCCTTTACTGCCGTCGTTTTTCCATATCTTCCCGATCACGGATACGAAAGCATCCGGGGAGATCTGATCTGCGATGCCGTCGACCAGGAAAAGGACGAGCCACCATCGGGAGAAAACCACGACGGGCGCACAAACCATGCGGGAATCGATTTTCGTTCGTTCGTCCTATTTTGTGACCATCCCCACAAAGCCTACCCCGGTACCGCGAGCAATGCTACCGCAGCAGCGGCCTTGATCGATGGAACAGTCGTAAATGATGTTTTGAACAATCCAATAGAAACGACAACTTTGGAACCTAACAAACGAACGAGAGAGAAAATTGTGACCATCGGCCATCCTTCCGGTCGGATGGAGGTTTCATCGAGGATAAAAGAGACACTCGGCGATGTGCACGGTGCAATCGAACCTATCGATAGGGACGATGGCAAATCCCATAACAGTTCGAAAGAATACTTTCTTKWACGATCGGTCATWGGACGTACCTTTCGAAGGCTCGCCGACGGTTTCCTCTATTTGAAACCAGATACGGTTCGTCGCTGGAAAGAGGCCAAAACAGAATAGATATCTGTCATCAAAGCCCACGTCCAAACAAACAAGACAACCCATCCTCTCTTATTGTGTTTGGCAACAAGCGGCTGCTGTTTCTTTCCTCAAATTATAGTCATTTGGTTGGATCGTCCCTTAACTCTAATTTTGGTCAGTCTGTGTAACCACAGTTTTCCTTTTAAAGTGTTGCTGTTTTTGTGTATGGGTTCGTGATAAAATTTGATAATACTACTGCATATCAAGGACATATGACAATACAATGTACATCTAGTAGTAGTAGAGCATCACACTACCAGCCAATACAATGGGTTGTAAAGAAGGGGTTAAGATATTTGTAGTTTCAATGATGCATTTGATCACTCATAGTTTGTATAATTGGAAAAAGTTCTACAGTAAATATTATATTTTACCCTGTGATCTAGGATGGGCGCCGGGTGGCCTGAACCATCACTTAACAAAGAAGAATGCTCCTACTACTAGTAGCAACTCTGAAGGGTGGCACCTCCAAGGACGTTACAACCGAGAAGCTAGTATTATTGTAGTGGTATTAGTTTTAGTACTAGCTTATACTATGTACTAGTTATTGTAGCACATGCAAAGAAGAGCTGAGGAGAGGTTTTCTAATTTCACCAAAGAGGGACGACTTCTTCTTGATAATGGAGCAAATCAATCAAATTTCACATCCCATTTCTGGAAACATTTCAAATCAGCAATAACCAAGAAAATCTCATTTCTGATAAATGCTAGTACTAGTAGTAATAGTATATCAGGCAATGATTATCATCATGGGTAGCACTATCATGAACTCTTTTAGACTACTAGTAAAGTTTATCTTCTTGTTCCCAAGTCATGCTCATAGTACTACTACTACTAATACTACTATTTCAATTTTTGCAATTTTAAATGCTTCAATTCTGCCATGCTAGTACTACTATTAGTAGAGTGTAACTTTCATGTGTTTAGATGGGTTTTTCTTAACTTCCAACCAAAGAAAGATTCTCAGGGGGGTACTACTAGCAGCCAAAAAGACCACCACCCATGCTAGTACTAGCAACACTGTGCTAGCAGTAGTAGTAGTAGTACTACTACTACTACTACTAGTATTACCACCACTACTACTACTATTATTGTGACTACTACTAGCTATGCTGCACAAGAATTGGCTTATACAAATTCCACCTTCCAGCAATAATCAAAATCACATTGAAAAAAATAATTATTTTTAGCAGTAGTAGAGTGCTTTTGTTTCTACTAGTAAAACAAGGATTATTCTTTTCTAAACGTTCTTGCTACTAATAGTAGTACTAGTAGAATAGTAGTACCTAGTGCTGGAACTAGTACTAGTACTAGTACTACTTCTACTAGTATTACACTACTAGTACTGTTACTACTAGTAGTAGTAGTACTTCTAGTAGCTAGTAGTTGTCCTCTATTAATACCAGCACCACCAGTAGTACTACTACTAGTAGATAGTAGTACTAGTACTAGGATGAAGAAGAAGTAGTACTAATGACAAGAAGAAAGAACAAGAAGAAGAACAACACATCAGCATACTAGTACTGCTACTACTAGTACTACTGCCTAGTACTACAACAACTAGTACTACTAGTAGGTAGTACTCTATAGTAGTAGTAGTAGTAGTAGTAGTAGTAGTAGTAGTAGTAGTAGTAGCATTACATTTTGTGAGTTAATATTACTAGTACTAGTACTATGAAGCAAAAAGAAGAATGGAACAAGAAGTAACCCAGAAATCAAGATGATTTCTCCCTTGAAGGTGAAAATTATACTGAGTATGGGCAGAGGAAGAACTACTAGTACTACTACTAGTAGTAGTACTACAACAAGAACCAGCACTACTACTACTACTAGTACAACAATAACAAGAATGATTCTGTTTGCACATGTGTCTGTCCATAAGTCAGTAGAATAACTGTTGATATTATTCCTATTAGAAGTACATTACTAGTAGTAATTTTTACTACAGTGGGGGTATTTGAACGTAATGCAACAAAAAATGCAACAGTAGAGAATCATGTACAATTATACGTACGTACACCTCGCTATTATCCTACTCACCAGCACAGTATCGAAATCCCTCAACTGATGGGTTTCAGTTGAGAAGAAATATTCTCACAATTTTCGACAAGACAATTTCCATAGAATTTCCACAGAAAAAAAAGCAAGTCGTGAACGTCATTCTCAACAACCGACGATCATGACAATGGGATGGATGGACATCTTCTTATCAGCTATTCAACTTGCTCCTCTTGTTGAGGCAATCAAGCAAAAAAGCAGTCACAGTTACTACTAACAATACTACTAACAAGAAAAAGCAGTCACAGTTAACACACTATTAATGAAGAAAATCGAAGCAACCGAATCGAAGCAACCGAATCGAAGCAACCAAATCGAAGCAACCAAATCGAAGCAACCAAATCGAAGCAATGAATCAAAGCAATGAATCAAAGCAACCAAAGCAACCGAATCGAAGCAATGAAGCAACCAAAGCAATGGAAGCAACCAAAGCAACGAATCGAAGCAAAGCAACCGAAGCAAAGGAACCGAAGCAACGAATCGAAGCAACGAATCGAAGCAAAGCAGCCGAAGCAAAGGAAGCAACCAAAGCAACGAATCGAAGCAAAGCAACGGAAGCAAAGCAATGAATCAAAGCAATGAATCAAAGCAATGAATCAAAGCAAAGGACCGAATCGAAGCAAAGCAACGGAACGCAGCAACAAATTGCAGCAAAGCAACCGAAGCAACGAATCGAAGCAAAGCAACCGAAGCAACGAATCGAAGCAAAGCAAC